GTAATTCCCATTCCCAAAAACAAGAATCCCACTGAACTAGGTCATTTCAGGCCCATAAGTATACTGCCCACAGTGTCCAAGGTGTTGGAAAAGGTGGTCGCTCAACAAGTTAATGTATGTATTTTTATTACGCGAAAAAGTCCTACCCAGTGGTTCAATCGGGGTTTAGGCCTCATCATAGTACTTGCACTGCTCTTTTGAAAGTATCAGATGATATTTTTACAGCAACTGATAAGGGCTAGAACACCTGCTTAGTGCTGCTTGACTTTAGTAAGGCCTTTGATACATTAGACCACGACCTATACTTTGTGATAAGTTGTATTATTTTGGTATGTCAAATCTAGCAGTATTGTTCTTTAGAAATTACTTGAAGGAAAGGAAACAGAGAGTTACCTACCTTTAAAGGAAATGTTTCCGAGTTTTCATTAATAAACAAGGGTGTTCCCCAGGGAAGCATCTTGGGACCTTTGCTGTATTTAATTTATACTTCTGATTTTTATAGCTATTTAAGCTACAGCAATCTTTCACTTATATGCTGATGATTCTCAAATCTACTTATCGTTTTTCCTGCCTGAATCTGAAAATGCGGCGGTTAAAATGAATGAAGACCTGCGCAGGATTTATAAAGTTTCAAGAGCTCACTCACTTTCACTTAAAGAATCTAAGACGGAGGTTCTATTGTTTGGTAAAAATAGTAACGTTCTGCAGGAGAATGGTTTATTTGTTCTTAATCTGAATGGTAATAATCTTAATTTCACAAATAGCTGTCGTAATTTGGGCATATACTTTGACACTAACTTACGATTCTCAAGTCATGTTAGTCATTTACTACAAAAATCATATTCTAAACTAAAATTACTATATATGCACAAAGATCTTCTCACTACTGAGATTAAACTAAGACTATGCGATTCTCTTATTTTATCTTTTATTACATATTGTAATGTGGTCTATTGGGCGGCTTTGCGTCAACAAGAACAATATTAATTACAAAAACTTCAAAATGCCTGTATACGTTTTTCATACAATTTGCGTAAATTTGACCACATTTCAGACTGTTTTAGAGATTCTCATTGGCTGAATTTGGACGAACGGTTCCAGGTACATATGGCTTGTTTGGTATACAAAATTAATCAAACAGAACTGCCCTCATATCTCTTTCAAAAATTATCAAAGAGGAATGATATACATGACCGTATTATGAGATCGTCGTCTCGTTACAGTGTCTCCAGGCATTATACGGCTCTATTTAGACGGTCATTTTCCTACAATTCTGTAAGCATTCATAACAGTGTCCCTGACGTCATCAAGTTGTCTCCCAGTATCCAGTCATTCAAATCTAAGTTATGTGACTACGTGTTGCAAAAGCGTGTGTAACAGTGTTTTTATTGATTCATTATCTGATTTCATTCATATTCTTTTGTTTTTTTTATTTATAAAGTATTTTCTGAAGTTTTGTATTAACGGATAGTTTTAGTTTGTATACTTTTTTGGAAAGTACTTGTTATTTTATAGCTAATTATATTTGTGTATTCTTCAGGTTCATATTGATTTTAGTGTAAGCTTTTCTTTTTGGTTTATATTTAAATGTATTTAAAAACTTGTTGATGGTTGCGTGGAAGAGCATTGATTTGAACGTCGCCATCATGTAAAAAATAATTTGTGCAAAATTGTTTGAAATAATGAATAAAGACATCTTGTATTGTATTGTATAAGGTAGCTAACTCGATCAGTACTTACTAAAATGATGAAATTTCATTTTTTTTTTTTTGTTGAGATTTTGTGTGTTAAGGGTCCTTTGGGATCACCCAAACTCCATATCCTAAATTATTCAATGTTGTTTCACTTTTCAGTTACAAAGGAATGTGAAATCGGATTTCCTCTAAAATTAATCGTTTAGGTTTTACAGCCTGTCAAAGTTACAAAAAGTCAATTTTCAACTGTCAATATTTCCGAAACAGTTCAACTTAGGTATAGGGTATATTACATAAAATCTGCTCAGAATTTTACGTAGAATCCTGTGCCCGAGTTTATTTATTTGGTGGTTCACTTCACAAGAATAATGCCCACAAGGTACCTAAAAAGGGATGATATTTTTAGTTGATTTAGGTGATTTCTGATCCAGAGAGTGAACATTAACTTTCTTCAACCAAGGCCAAATACACCATCGAAAAAAACTGAATTTAATTCAACTACTAGATATGTTAACACAACATTTGATAATTCTGATTTCTGAGGCGGTACGAAGTTCGCCGGGTTACCTAGTTATCTTTGCTAGTGTATACAGGGTGTCAATTTGAAAACTGCCCACCCCTATTATCTCGGAGTAGAAAAATTTTCGAGAAAATCCCTGAAACACGTCAACTATAATTTGAGGGGGGATGCGTTTTTATGCAAAATTCACCTCCCTCCCCCCTTTCAACCCCCCAGCCCCCAGAGCCACCCCCTAGAAAATTTTAAATGGGAAGGGGGGACAAGTGATACATCATTTCGCAGGGTTTTTAATTCCATTCATTCTGGTACTAAATTTTAGTTCCCAAGTTCAACTGTTCTGGAAATATTGACAGTTGAAAATTGACTTTTTTGCTACTTTGACAGGCTGTAAAACCTAAACGGTTAATTTTAGAGGAAAACCTATCTTACATTCTTATCTTAGATTTTCATAAACTATCATTTGACAACATTTTTGAATTTAACCGGAGATTAAATTTTAAACCGGAATTTTTGATCGTAGATTAAATTCGAAGTTGCTGTCAAATGATAGTTTAGAAAAATCTAAGATAAGAATGTAAGATCGGTTTTCCTCTAAAATTAACCGTTTAGGTTGTACAGCCTGTCAAAGTTGCCTGAAAGTCAATTTTCAACTGTCAATATTTCCAAAACAGTTGAACTTAGGGATTAAAATTTTGTACCAAAATGTATGGAATTAAAAGCCCTTCAAAATGATGTATCACTTGACCCCTATTCCCATTTAAAATTTTCTAGGGGGTGACTCTGGGGGTTGAAATAGGGAAGATGAATTTTGCATAAAAACTCATCCCCCTTCAAATTATAGTTGACGTGTTTCAGGGATTTTCTCGAAAATGTTTCTGCTCTGAGATAATAGGGGTGGGAAGTTTTCAAATTGACACCCTGTATAGAAAACAGGAAGGTTATTTTCAGGTAAGCGGTCTGTGACTAAATGAAAACCCTTGTGTTTTTTACTTCTCAATATTTCGTCCTGTATTTAGCGACTTCATCATGAGAATCTACAATAAAAATTAAAACAGTGGTCAAATTCTTTTAACTAACAAACAAAAAAAGGAGAAAAAAAAAATTTTTGGAAATAAGTAAAAAAATTGATTCATTCATTCTTCATTTTATATACCTACAAATTGAAAATTAAAACACATTACTGATTACTTACAAAACGTAGGGTAGGTCAACACAATACAATACAATGGACATGTTACATAAAAATTAAAATTATCGGAAAACCAACCGAATAGGTGTTCACAGAATAATCAAAAAACGTACAGTACTCCTTGCAAATCTGTGTGCATACAAGTAACAAATTTGTTTATAATAGACATTCCACAAAATCGAAAAACGATAGATCAAAATTATAATACCTAACTATACAAAGGAGACACCAAAAATTAACAACAAACAGAATAAGGGGTGACAACATCAGTATCGGGCTGTTAAAAGCAAGTACCAATTTTCACAAATTAAATGGGGTTCAATCTGTTACAATAGATATTGCTGAGTTGACTGATATCTGACTTATAGTTTGCGAATTTTGGCAACTATTGTTTTAGACCATTTACTCGATATCGTGATCCCTTTGTTGCCTTTCGGCATGCCTTTCATTTACAAGTATGTGGATGATTTGATTTGTTCTGTACCTTAGGTGTGTCTAAAAGCGATACAACCTCGTTGTATGAAATAAATGCAGTGGATACTTGACACGTCCTGTACTAAATTTTCCATAGGTATGAAGAAAGGTTTATGTGATTGGTTTCGAAAATGCTAGAGATGAAGGGTTGAAAATATGAGAAAACTCAACAAAAGCAAGTAAGGTTTTCATCTATTTTTTCAAAAATTTGGATGGGGTACCGCTACCATCATTTAACAGAGTGTTCTAGAATACTGCCTCAAATTGGTTTTGAAATAGGCAGGGGATGAAGGGTGGAAAATAATGAAAATATCAATAAACTAACGAGAAAAAGTTGTACTTATAGGAAAATGGTGGGTTTGATTCTCTTCAATTTTGGCATTTAAGTACCTACACTTTTTTCATAAAGTCAACCGTTCAGGAGTTACCTTAAAAATCCACTTTTGTGCACACGCACATTAAATCCAAGATAACGGAAAGACCCCTCCAAGGTTGACACCTTTTGCAAGCTGCGGGCGGGTCTTTTTTCGAAACTATGTGAGCGTACTACTAGCTGATTGAGTCACGTCTCATGGGATTTGCTTTTGGGGCATGCCTAGTCTGTATTTCCTGAACAGCTAATTCGTCTTCCAAAAACGAGTAGTTAGGTATATGACCAACTTTCTTCCACTAGGCAAACTAATAATATTCAACCGCCAACTCCCAGAAGCACCTTGATGAAGAAGTATTTTGTTTATTTTGCCAAGAAAGTCTTCAATTTCCTACCATCTTGCGTTAGGTGTTCACGTTCATACGGGAGGTTTAGAAAGGGGGTAAGGGAGTTACTCTTGAATAAAGCCTACTATAATATTGTAGAATTCTTTGGAGACACCTTGTGAACATATTATTTATAATGTAGGAAACATTTCAAATTGTTCTGAAAGATATTCAATTTCAATATTTTATTATTAAGGTTGATATGCTTTGTCAATGAAAAGTTTTTTTTCTGGACAATCAAGTACTTTTTGATTGATTTTATTTGAGTCGAGCAAGGCCACGGGATTCATGCAAGACATTGTTTTTGACAGTTGGTAGTATACTAACCCACTTAACTAATTAGTTTGGACAAATAATAAGGTAACTTTTAAAGAATTTTAATGTAAAAAAAAGTGTTCTCCCAAGTACAATTTTTAAATATTTTATTCAACATAAATCTGTAACATTGGTAATTATACTTCAAGTATAAAAGTACCTGTTAGCAACATAAAGAGCTTCGAAGCAAACTATTCCACTATAAAATCTTACGTTGTAAATTTTCCATATAAACTCGAAGGGAGAGCATTAGCAAATTAAAATTTTTGCCATACCATTCGAAGTTGTATGCTACATGGGTCTGCCAATAGTTATTTAAAAAACTTCTGTAAAATTCACTCATTTCATCTGCATTAAGATGTGGCTTCGACTCTGAGGTGTGTTTTTTAATGTATACTTCTTTTTCCTGAAAAAAAAAAAACAGGAATTTTTAGTTAATTAAGGTTTTAATTTGTTCAAGCCTTCTTCATCATTTAGTCTTATCTTATGAAGGTTCTTAAATAGTTAAATATAGAAAAAAAGTGGAATAGCAATCGAAACAAAGAAAATTGAGGTTTTTATGACTCATATTAAGATTAACTAACAATTTAATCATCATCATCTGATCCAATTAATAAATTTGCTTCCTAACTTTGTTTTCAATGATCTCAATATTTATTACACCTAATTGATGAATCATCACTATGATGAAGTAATAAAAAAAAGGGACCACCAGGGGAATGTAAACAAGCTTGTTCCTTTCTTTTCTTATTAGCCTATACTAGGAAAATGGTCGAAAAATACATGCATTGCAAAAAAAAAAAAAAAAATCTACCCAAATGAACTTTTCAGGGATGATAGGGGCCGGGTGGGTGATCATAAAACCGAAGATATCACACATTCACCCCTCTGGCATTTTGCGCTTTAGGGGTTGGAAGTGCGCCATTGATGATTACTTGGTACCTATTGATTTTACAAACAAATGTTTCAAATAAAAGATGTGCAGCAATATTTGATCTACAATGTTTATCTAAAGACTTTTTTGATTAAGGGCTGCCCGTGGTCATAAGGGCCGTTAGAAAAAACATTCTACAACACATAGAACGTTTTTGCTTTATGAAGTTTTTACTCACCCCCTGCCGTTTTTCTATAGGGGTAGTTTGAAGTTTTTTTTTTTCCAAAAAAAAATCCTCAATGAAAGTTTTATAAGATTAATTACATTTCCTATAATTTTTCCCTATCAACTTTTTTTGTAACTCATCCCCATATAGCGGGAGGACACTTTCCAGAAGATTAAATTTTTTATTTTCATCATAAATTACGAACGGCCCTTATGACCACAGTCGACCCTTAATCAAAAAATTCTTCAGATAAACATTGTAGATCAAACTATGTTGCACATCTTTTATTTGACACATTTTTTTGTAAAATCAAGTAATTGGTGTCCCCTGGGGAAGCCGTTCGCCATAATAGGTTAGGATCCCACTCGGGATCCCATTTGTTGCACGATTATACTATTTAAGGTAAGTGTAGCAGTGGGGCACTACCAAATGCCGGCGAGAAATTGTTGAATTATGATTTGCTGTTGGATGTCAGCTGCACAATGTGATTCAAAGTGGATTGAGCCTACTGGGTCATATAAGAATAGCCGAATGCTGAAGAACTTTGCCAGCCAAACCCTATATTAGGATTTAGATTTCTGAAAACTTTGAAATTCCTAGGTGTGTCAGTAGACAGGTATCTCAAGTTTAAAGACCATACTGCAAAAGTATGCGACAAAATATCTTCTGGTTGCTATGCCCTGAGAGTTATTGCTAATAACCTGAATTTCTCCATTGCCAAATGTGCGTACTTTGCGATTATTGAGTAAATTCAGTGTTCCTTGAGGTGTTCCTACTACAGAAAAAAAGGGCTATTAAATACTTCTGTGGAGCCAAGCCTCGTGATTCTTGTCGCCCTCTGTTTTTAAGCCACAGTATTCTAACTTTATGTTGTCTTTTTATTCTGGAAACGGTTTCTGTACTCTTTAGAAAAAATAAGTGTGAATTGGAGCTAAGGGGTCAATACAACAAGCGTCAAAATTACGTGCTGAGCTTACCTATCTTCCACTCAGAACTTATCCGTAGCTCTATTATAATATGAGGGCAAAAAATTATTCAATAAACTTTCTTTAAAGATGAGAAAAAGTCAGCACTGAAATGAGGCTACGTTTTTAGCTTTGTCTCGAGGTTTGTTAAATAAATAAATAAATATTTTATTAGTGACAAGTGTCATTTTGAAATGTTTACAATAATGTTAAATTTCTAGGGACATGAAAACCAATAAGTGATAACCTCAGGTGATAACAGATCTGGTGACTCTATGATATTATTTATGATTTTGCATAGAATACATAAGTCTTGCTGTTCCCTTCTTTACTATAAAGTTTGCATGTTTAAGAGGGATAAAATGTCATTGTCATTATAATCAATAGAGTCATAATTGATATTCATTCTAAATGCAATTTATCCTAAAAAATGTCTTTGAGGTAGCTCTATTGCATACTTTTGATTCTCGTGAAAGGGAGACCAAACTGGACTGGAGTATTCTAGTAGTTGCCTAACAATTGCAGAATATGCATTTCTCAGGGTAAAAATATTATTAAAATCTTTTAGATTGCGCAAAACAAAACCCAATAGCCTCATTGCTTTATTAGAAATCCCTCGAGAAATCCTATCTATATGCCCATGAAAATTCATTTCTACATCTAACAACACCCCTAGGTCTCTAATAACATGCCTTCTTTCTAGAGCAACATTATTGATGGAATAGTTGAAAATGAAAGGATTTTTTAGACGACGAAAGGAAATTATTTTACACTTAAGATATTTGAAGACAGTTTATTTCATTCGCACCACTCAAAAAAAAAACCATTCAGCTCATTCTGCAGCGTATCACAATCCTGATAACCTTGAACCACAATAAAAAAATTTCATGTAATCTGCAAAGTTCAAAAATTTACAACTTCAAAGCATCATTCAAGAATGAATTGAACAAGAGTGGAGACAAATGATCGCCTGAGGGACTCCTGATGTAACCTCAATTACATCAGATACCTAGGTACCTACTTGTTGGATCAATGATTTATAATGATTGTGCACTGCGATAGCTTTATTACAGTGTAGATTATTGTTCTGGTTTCCATATTATAATAGGCAAAATGATGGACACACAAATGTGTATAACACATTTAGGTGCATTCAAGAATTTTGTTTTACTTTAAAAAACTATTAGATTTAAGATACTGTAGTGTAAAATACCATTGCTGTTAATGTAAATGAAATAAATGAAACTTAATTAGTATTACCAGGATGCCATGAAATATGCGAATACTGTAGGTATTTGTGTCACAGTTTTGCACTTTGATGTGTTTCCTTTGTATTTTATGCCCTTGTTTGTTAGAACGAGCAGGCAAATTTTTTTGATAAACTTTTGGTAACTCTCCTATTATTTTTTTCAATGTGAGTAGCTGAATAATTTTTGGATTTCAGGAAGAGTCGGATTTCTTTGAGATGATGAGCTTTCCTTGAATCTAATTATTTGTAGAATTAGATTAACATGATACTAGGTGGAGCAGAGATATATGAATACCGCACTATAGCTTATGTAGGTACTTACTCTTAAAAAATTCGTATTATGCTTTTGCCAAAATTCCTGATTCCATTTTTGTGTAGCATCAGCAGTGTTTCTATATTTTCTTTGTAAAACAGTTTCATTTTTTAATATTCCACGTATAATTGGTCTAAGATTTGATAGTGTATCTGGGGGTCCGATTAAATCTACATTATATTCTTCCCTTACTACAATAATGGGTTCTTCCAAAGTCTTCTCAATAAATACTGCCTGGGGTGCCCTTGAACTTGAAGAAACTATTCTCTAAAAAGTGGATATACCTAATAATATTACATAACCACTAAAATAATTACCTTAAAAAGAAAAGATGTTCTGTGTAATTGATGGAGACAGTTACATGGCGTTGTTAATGCCATTAGGTAGTGGAGGAATTCTTCAGTTGCTTGAAAAGTTTTATTTGAAACTTTTATTATGATGTCCCGTCCCTTAGCATTTTAGGGGCATTCAGCAACTACAGGCAAGGGCAAACAGCAAGTAAGGTTATGTTCGGTTTAGTCTGTTTGACAGGTAGAACTCGGGTAGGCTCAAGGATAATACACACTACTACTACAGGATAGTCTATCCTCATAAGGCCTATGTGGAAAAAATCTGAAGCCCCTCACCTCGCCAAATCACCAGTTGTGACGTAAAAAGCATGTCCTTCCCACCTTGACGTAGGCTGTTTGCATCACAGGTTATGATTCCGCGGGCTTTTGCTATATGCATACTTGGTTTTACCCTCAGATTAACACATGAAATAGATAGGTTTATTATGATTAAAAGATGCCCCAAACATTGACTCCCATTCTAAGATCACTTGCGGATACTTACTGCAGATGTGCCATATTTATAAATTGTCCTAAGTTGCAGGGAAAATGGAATTGGAAATTGGAAAAAATCCATCGCAAATATAAAAATCTAGATAGGTATATGTATATAAAATTATAACATAAAATATCGCAGTGCTTTCCAAAATTGAATGGGAATAATTATTATATAAAATAATAATCTATTATCACAATAAAATTTGAATAAGATTTTGTGCTAGCTGAAAATGGCAACTCTGCCTAAAATCTGGGAACGGTTGTATTCGTCTAGGAACGCCTACCTGAATCGTTTTATCTTTGTTAAGATAACTACATAAAGAAGGATGCAAATATTGCCGGAGCAAGAACGACCATTATCGCGAATGCGCTGTAGTATTCATAGTAAGAAATGTCAAACGGGTTTTGTTCGTGATAGGCCCGTATTGTCCGCAATCTTATCCCTACTCCATGTAGTTCATTCATAATCCACTATTGTCGTTTAGGATTGTTGGCCGCAGAAACCAAACGATTTTATGAATGACTTGCCCTCTCTAAAAAGTAAACACGCCTTCGAATTGAACGTCGGGTGGGTTCAAGAATAATAATACACACTACTAAGGATTGTTTATCGGCCTCGTTTTTGATAATCGCTGCCATATTGGTGTGTCACCATTTCCGACGTCATAACTAAGTTCTCAGCTGTTTGCATTAGTGGTCGTAGCTTAGAATTTTAATTTATGAAAAAAATTATAATTTAATTTTGATTACCATAATAAGCAGAGAGGAAGATAAAAACGAGATCTAAAAAAGAGTTGTTTTAGAATGTTATAGTGTAGTAAAACCAAGTACGCATAAAGCAGAAGCCCGCGGAATCATAACCTGTGGTGCAAGCAGCCTGCGTCAAGGCAAGAAAGTACATGCTGCCTACGTCATAACTGGTGATTTGGTGTGGTGGGCCTTATGAGGATAGGCTATCATGTAGTGTGTGTTATCATTGTATTATCCTTCGGGTGGGTTGTCAGTGATATCAACCGAGCGCGCTCTGCAGTTCAGAATGCTCTGGGTAAAATTCAAGCTTGTTAATACTATTTTTGCGTTTGGTATTTTACTCTAAGAGCAGCGCGTGCAGAGCGAAGATGTAATCACGTGACCGGCGAGCACACAGAGCAGTTAAACGCTGTAACAGAGGTCTCGAAATTTTAATAAACGAATGTGAATGAGCCTGCACCGAGTACACTTTTCGAATAAACGAACGGTAAATTTATGCTCGGAGAACTGAGATCAAAATACCGAACGCACGGGTATACGTACCGGTACCATCACACCATCACCGACACGTAAAATATTCTCTTTGCCAAAGCTTGACGGCTCGGACGGTAGCGTGAAACGCTATGGTGAAGGTGTAGTGTAAATATGACCATTGCTTGTTAATATTCTCTTTGCGTTCCAAAAAATTTTGTTACAGTACTAAAACAGTTTCGGGATAGTTATTCGGTAGTCGCCAAGAAGCAGGAAGTGTTAAAGTCTGCGCTGCGCAAACACCACACCGACTAAAGAGTAAGATAAGAATATAGAATAGAGTGCTCGGTACGTGAGGACAAGGGTGATACACACCTGCAGGATTGCTTATCGGCCTCGTTTTTGGTAATCGCCGCCATATTGGTGTGTTACAATTTCCGACGTCATAACTAAGTCGTCATCTGTTTAAACAGTCTACTTCAAGGCAAGAAATAACATGCTTTCTACGTCACAACTGGTGATTTGGCAGGAAGGGGTAGAGGGGGATTTGTTCCACACAGGCCTCATGAGGATAGGCTATCCTGTAGTAGTAGTGTGTATCATACTTACGTGAGAACGATGTTTCCGAACGTCGAAAACGAAGGATATTTCCCACAATCCGACTGAATTCGACATTCTTTGAACTGTGTGAATTTACAACGCACACACAAGTTATCGAACGCTGCCCTGCATGGCATCCGTCTCTGGGGTGCGATTTTCGAAACCATTCCAGTACATTTCGTACACGAAATTTGACTGCTCCCCATTTAATTTACATTGGGTGAGTTCGGCTTGCTCACTCCGTGCACTCGGAGTGACTCCATTCGCACTCCAGCCGTTCGGGTTAAGGTTCGGGTATTGCTTTTTACGGTATTAGGGGTGACTCCATTAGCTCTGTTCACTCCACTCCAACTCCACACTGAATAGCCGAACTCAGCTATTGCTGTCAGTCAAATTTCGTGTACGAAATGTACTCGAATGGTTTCGAAAATCGCACCCCTGTTTGTCAATTATCATCAATGTCAAATGTCACTGATCTAGAAAGATAATTATTTTTTTAATTTAAAAAATAGTTTAATTTGTTTTTAATGTTTATTGTTTCTGGATATTGAAACTAGACATTTACCAAGGTACACGTACAACCTACATGATGTGTACACACCCAATGCTAAATACACAAAGAAGCTACCTATAGGGGTGCCTTAAAAAGTGGTAGTACAAGGTTTTAGAAATTTTTCTTTTCGTTAATTAGTGAAATGAACTCCTTAGAACTGGATAATAACAATGCTAATAACAATGTATTAGTACTTAGACCAGCAACAAGGACACTCATTTCCAGTTTATTGAATCCAATAAAACTTTTGAGGAATGAGAGAGGACTTCCTCGGTGAGTTGAAACCAAACTAACTTTCCTAAATTTACACCAAATTGTTCCAGTGATTGGCAAGGACTAGCTGAACTATGTGGCGTTGCAGGAGAATTAATACCCAGTATTTCAAATGAGCATAACCCAACAGCTACAATTTTAAAGACTTGGCAGGAGCAAATTAAATCAGAAGCCACTGTTGATAAATTGATAACTTACTTAGAACAAATTGATAGATCTGATGTTGTGGATGATATATTACCATTAATAGGTGAGTAAAATATTTTGTGAATCTTCTGAGACACTTTCTCATTTAGGTATTAAGAAACTTTAGGTAAGATTTAAGGCTTTGTATAAAGTAGAAAAACAGCCCACTTTGGCCAATAGGGTAGTGGACAAGGTATAATTTTAATTTATTTATGAAGTAATGAAAAATATTTGTATGAAAAGAAATTTCTGAAAAAATTACTAACTTTTTCTAAAACAGTTATAAAACTAGAGTTTTGGGACGCACTATTTAAATGGAAATATTTCGCGCTTCGATTTTACATCATAACTGCTGTATTTGAGCCAGGGATGTGCAATGTTCATCGATTATTAAAAAACATCGATGTTTAATACCCGATGTTATTATCGATGTTGGTTGTTAAAATCGACAATAAGAAAAGGTTAAAGATAATTTACTTGCTCTAAATTTTTGAAGAGCAGGATGTACACCGTCGAAACGAAATAAAACAACAGTTGTGTATTTTGGTGTAAATTTATTAAAATTGGCTGAGCGCTTTCGGTCTTATTAGGCCATCTTCAGAGCCGCCCTATAACAAGCAAAGTAAGTATACATGTTTAAATGTCTTTATAATAAAATTGGTTTTTAAGTACTTAATCGTCATAGAAATCGTGACTCAACATGGGACATTAAAAAACAAAACACCAAATAATAATACCTCGAATAATACATGACAACGGAGACTTAAATAACACTTTAAAATTCTTGTATATATAACAAACAGACACAAAAGATGAACAAATAGTAATTTAAAAAAAAAAAAAGAATGGTACGCTCTTAATAAAAGTACGTTGTCTTTTGGAATGCAACAAATATTATTTATCGATGTAAAAACCCCAGAACCATCATCGCATGTATTAATACGTAAAAAAAATTTATTATTATTTTCATATTGATCTATAATTGACTGGGTTTGTCTAAGAAATTTTTAAATTGAAATTGACTAGGTTTGTGTAGAAGTGGATGGGTAGGTATTATCAGCAAAGAATTTGAAGGTAGGACTTCTGAGGTTGGTTTCATTGGTCCTTATGTTAAGGCTGGTTACCCATGGCAAGGCCTAATGTTTGGCTATAGAACTTGTCATTAAAAATGAAAAAGTCTTGTGACAGGCAAAACTTAAGAAGCAAAATAATTTCTTCGAGATCAAATGAGTCTATTTTATTTAATTGTAGAGCTTGTTCAACAATAGGTATTGTTTCAAGTCTGTCACAAGACTTTTTCATTTTTAATGACAAGTTCTATAGCCAAACATTAGGCATTGCTATGGGTAACCCACTTTCACCACTCTTAGCTGACTTGTTTCTGGACAAATTAGAGAAAAATGCCGTCCCTTTACTGCTTAATGAAAACAAAATATTGAATTGGTTTAGGTATGTTGACGATTGTTTTGCAATAGTTACTTGTGATCCTTTGCAAGTCTTGAACTCTCTCAACAATTTGCATCCATCCATTTTATTCACTTCAGAATCTGAAACCAACAACGGCATCAACTTTCTAGATATCACCATTACAAAAAAGGACAACTGTCCATCCTTCAAAATATTTCGTAAAAATACACAAACAGATCACATCATCCCTTACCATTCCAACCATCCCCTTACCCACAAAATGGCTTCTTTCAACTGCTATATTAATCATTTATTAAATATCCCTATGTCCCCTGAAGACATAGAAAATGAAACTAACATCATTAAACAAATTGCTTTTAACAATGGGTATGACCCGAATATAGTAGATAAACAAATTGCCAAAATTAAAACAAAAAGAGAAGCAATCCAAGCTTACAAGAGTAAACCCCAAAATCCCTCAACTAATAAATATGTTTCCCTTCCTTACCTTGGCCCTTTTTCCTATAAAATATCCAGGATACTAAGCGGTTCTCAAAACAATATCAAACTGTCTTTTAAGAGCACTAATTCATTAGGTTCCATTTTAATCAACAACAAGCAAACCATAGCCCATACCCAAAAAAGTGGAGTTTACAAACTTAAATGTGCAGATTGTCCTGCCACATACATTGGAAAACCCATTCGACCTCTTTCAACCCGAATTAAAGAGCATATCAATAACTCTGCGTTTGGCCACCACCTTAACTTCACGAAACATAATTTCTCCCCTTATGAAGACAGCAAAATAATTTTTCCACAGAGGTCAAACAACCCTAAATCCCTAGATTATAGAGAGGACCTTGAAATTGCCAGAGAAGTTAAAAACAACCCCACCCATTGCCTTAACATAAGGACCAATGAAACCAACCTCAGAAGTCCTACCTTCAAATTCTTTGCTGATAATACCTACCCATCCACTTCTACACAAACCTAGTCAATTTCAATTTAAAATTTTTTTAGACAAACCCAGTCAATTATAGATCATATATGAAAATAATAATAAATTTTTTTTACGTATTAATACATGCGATGATGGTTCTGGGGTTTTTACATCGATAAATAATATTATTTGTTGTATTCCAAAAGGCAACATACTTTTATTAAGAGCGTACGATTCTTTTTTTTTTTTTTTTAAATTACTATTTGTTCATCTTTTGTGTCTGTTTGTTTTATATACAAGAATTTTAAAGTAGCGTTATTTAAGTCTCCATTGTCATGTATTATTATTTGGTGTTTTGTTTTTTAATGTCCTATGTTGAGTCACGATTTCTATGACGAGTAAGTACTTAAAAACCAGTTTTATTATAAAGACATTTAAACATGTATACTTTGCTTGTTATAGGTCGGCTCTGAAGATGACTATCTTTGCTATAACTGTTCTGAGATTGCCTAGAGCGTTTTGGCATAGATTTTAACACTTTTCCTTTGTGGTTTTGGTTTTTTTTTTGTATTGGTGGCTGACTCGGCTTTTTGTGCTGAACTGAGTAGGTGGTTTTGCAACAGCAATTTGCCAATTATTACTGCAAATTTCCCCTTTGGTATGTTCCAACTGTGAATGCACCAATCAATGGGGCATTCAGAGAGTGAAGAAAGACATCCTAGTGGAGTGGATACATGACACAAATTTCACTGTTAACTAGTTGGTTTGATTTTCAATATGCATGCATCAGACTGATTCCTTGTTTGTTCATATTGTTTTTTGTTTTACTTTACTTTACTTACCTTACAACTGCACTGGTTGACTGACTAGTGGAAGGACCAGCGCTAGCGTCACTGAAGTTCAATATTTTATTGGATATATCCTTTTGGAAACTTGTTCACCTTTCTAGGTAACCTTGTGGCCTGTATATAATTCAGGACTCGATTCAGGATTAGGAAGCCTCAGAGATAACTTTCATTTGATGGCATTTTTCCGAAGGTGTTTATTTCAATTCATTGTTCTGTGCAAGCTCTTTTCTTGTAGAACGCTATAACCTCTGCAGTATATGAATGGCCTACAGGTTGGCGCTTATTTTTTATTTTATGACACAAATCACCTGGAAGTTGAACATGTTATTGGGGGCATCAGTGATAGAAATTCACAAGGAAATGAATTGTCATTGGAGGTAATTTATGATTCTCCTAGATGGGACGTTGGATCTTCTTGCTTGTGTATATACTTTGCTTGGTCCTTGGTTGCTTTTCCTGATTGTCTGAAACCTGCATAAGTGCTGCTCCCTCGGCTGCCCCTGCACAAACACTGTGCACTTAAATTTTAACCCAAATATCTCCATTATCAACCGGTTCCAACATTATTGAGAAACTCTTGAAATCTAGAATGTACGAATTCTTGAACCTTCACGGCTTTTGAAGCTGTTGTTGTGGAGTTTCCACAACTTTACGACTTGAGGTTTACGAAGAAGGTTCGAGGTCGTATTCGGCGTAATCAAGAAAAAAAACAAGTCAAATCCTTAGTTCACTAACTAGACTTTGTTTTAATTAATTCGATGAGAAATGATACTGAAGCCACTGGTACGTATATTGTGAGTAGCAGAGATTAATACATCATGTTTTGAGGAAATTAACGTTACTACTACTCCTATTTGCTTAGCGACGAACAGTTTTAGTGCCATCCTAATCACGTTTAAAATTATACAGTAACCTACTTTTAGGTGGCAACCACGGTTTACTGCTTCAGCATTTGGCATTTAACTAGAAAATAGAATATAATAAATGTATTACAATGTTTCAATGTTTAAATATAATTATGGGCTTAAAATGAAAAAGGACAATCAAAGATAGGTAATTGAAATTGACTTTACAACATCCGTCCCTCCTAAGAATGAAATTTGTAACTGGGGTTAGGAATTTCATTTCACCAAGTTTAGAATTACAAACTCTGGAATTACTCTCAGCTATTTCGTTAAACTGGACGTCAGCGGTTTGGTCTTCACGCGGCACTCGCGTTGTTAAACAGATGCTTTCAGCGGTTTCACTTGGGGGCTCACGTTCCCTTTTATCTTGTTTAACGCATATTGTTCTATATTTCTTAAAACCTATGTAACTTACAATTAAAAACACTACTAAATATACTAGAATATAATGATGAATATGGTTAAAATCAATAGATTTTTGCTCTAACATCTTTTGTTCTTTTGCTTTTAATACTTACATTGATGGAATAACTTATTTTGGCTAATTTTTCATTTTGATCAGGAAGTACTAAAATACTTTTATTCAAGGACAAAGTTTCCATGAAACTGAAACGAAGATCTTGATTAATTATTTCATTTTTAATGTCAAGATTTTGAAAATAATTTGTGTTTATGAATGACTCATTTGCTTCCTTAGCACGTTCTCTGCCATGTCGGTCATTTTGACCGAAACATGTCACACCACGCCGCGTCGGTCATTATGACCGAAAAATTCATCGATTGTGTATTTTGATGATTTATTCCTTTGACATAAGTCGCAAGATTTTACAAAATTTTTAACACTTTGATATCGATTGGACCATTTATACTTCTGATTCTATTAAAGGTCTTATGGACACCTAAATGACCTCCCAGTGGACAATCATGGAATTCGTTTAGGATTTTACGAATTTCATTTTTAGAT